ATAGTCACTAGATAAGGAACAGGGCTTTGATGGCCTGATGTTGCCAGGGAATACCGGAACATTACACAAACTTGATCCATTAAATGGTACTTGGTGTTTGCCCACAGAACTAGTTAAAGACACATGGGTTTCTAAACATGAGACACCTTCCTCTGTAGTCCCTGTTCAGAAAACTGGTTTCAGACTCTTCATCTGTCCCTCTCTTGGGTTACATCAAAAATGAAGAGTCTGAGATTCATTTGGTTTTTGAAACTGTCGACTTTTAAATTACTGGGAAAACTACAAACTAAACTGAGAACAGTTCTTGTTCTCTCCAAGGCTTTACAAGGGATTCCTAGTAAAAAACCAACCCAACCCAACCAATAAAATACCAACAAGCAGAAAACCCCCAATCCTTCCCCTTCAAAATACAGCAGCTGATGATCCTATATATATTTTATCACTTCAGAAGAAGCCCTCACTGTGTAGACTGCATTTAGCAGCTCTTAGGTGAAATGCTGCCTCCTCTCTTTCTCAAGGTTCTGCTACGTGATCATAGCCAACCTTCAGCCACAGGAATGACACAATGGAATAAAATCTTAGTGACTACTGTTTACAATATATGTTTTAACTTCTAATTTGCAATTTCTGTAGTGTACATGGGAAAACTAGCTTACTAAAATTTTTTATTTCAGTTTTGATACAGAAAGACAAAGCATAGGATAGGATTTTTCTACTAGCTATCAGAAAATTTACTACAGAGACAGTTGGTATCCCTGCCACTCCCTGGCAATGACTCTGAATTTCACCACAGTGATTTGAAATATTGCGACTGAAAAAAAAAAAACCTTGAAAAATATTTTTGTTGAGGATTTTTACAATGCAATATCTCCAAAATATTGCCACCCTTAGCAAGAAGCCATTGTCCTTTTCTGGATTTAGATACATTAGTCATTGTCCATAAATTTTTCATTTAAAAAATGAGGTGATATATATCACCTAAATGGATTGGGAGTCATGGGAACAATGAAATCTCTCCCTAGCCTCAAGACTGTTATATGAAGGTTTCTTCTTTTTCCCTTCTTTTTTGTCTCTCTACATCTTTTTCTTTCCACCACTTAAGTTCAGAAGAAAATTAGCATTTAAAGTTTTTCTTAATAAGTGCTGATTTTCATCTCCTGTTAATTATTTTCTCTTTTGACATGTCTAAATGTACATACGGTGAAATGTTTTCCTGTGATATTCCCTATCCTTTCTGATTTGCTATTCCTGAACAGTGTTATACCTGTTTTTTTAAATGCATCCTCTTCCTCTACCAAGTTGCCAAGAGTTACCTAGGTATTTCATAAGATACATGAAGAAACCATCCTGTCCCAGTAATTTACAAACCTAAGGCTCTCATCACACACTGAAGCCTGGATAGGAGATCATAAAGGAAATGGGGTGAAAAAGCCTACTCCCACAGAACAAATTGAAAAGTAGATGCCCTAAAAGAAAAAGTGGAACATGAAAGCTGACTGGAGGAAGGCTACAGTCCAATGCATACAAACACTTCATCCAAAATATTGGAAGACTATCATTTCACTACCTTGCAAAATGAAAAAAACTCAAACTTAATACCTTTTATCTTCAGGTATATTCCTCCTTCCCTAGCAAAAGAAATTCTGTCCTTGTTTCCACTGCTCCCCTGTGATGGCAAGTTTATTGTCCTTCTTTCTGGCTTATTTCTGGCATTGCCTGCAGCACTATGGAAGGAAACTCTTCAGCTTAACTCTACAGCACAGCTGGAGTTACGGTACCAGCAGCACTGTGCTTACAGGGTATTACGAAAGCAAAGAAATACATCATTTTAGAGAGCCTACAAGTGTATGACAGGAGGTTTTTTCTTGAGCGACAGGCCCATTAGTCTTTACTCCCACAAAAAGCTTATTCATTCTTCAGAATGAGGGAGAAGTCAAGGCACAGCTATCTTCCCCAGCTTGATAAGATTGGTATGCAACCCGCAAAAACATACAACTGAAGTGAGAACAAAGGAAAGCAGCACTGCACTGTAGAGATGATCCATTTCTACTGGAACTGTCCTTTCAGTCTAGAACATTACAAAAACCAAGCAAAACACAAGACAATCAAACATGGTAACATAAAAAAAGCCTGAAGTTTGAAGAGGCAGCAATTAAGGCATCAGGATAAATTACCTCGGTCAGAATGGTTTATAAATTACCTTGGTCTATATTCAGAATACTGAATTTGTATGTGATTTCTATTTGGAACGAAAATTATTTTAAAAAGGACAACAGTTAATGAAAGCACTTCAAGAAGTCCCCTGTCTTTTCTGAGGCAGGCAGTATGCAAATTGTTTTCATTAGAATAGTACAAGGTGGAGAATGAGGCTAGTACTTTCCAAGAGGATCTTATATTTTCATTTTTGCTGCTAAATAACCAAGTTGGTCCATGTTTTCAAATCACTCTGAAATAACAGAATAGGAATCAGAGAAAGTCAGCTTTCTGGGGAAAAACTTGATTAAAGAACACAAATAAAAATAAATCACCAAATATTTTCCCCCTTCTATTGGATTTTGAATAACACTACATGAAGATGACTACTGGAGAAATGAGCTTTAAAAAAAAATTACAATCACCTGGGAAAAATTACTTATAGCTAAGATCATTAATATTTTTCAACCTTCTGCTTTTCAGTGCTCTGAGACAGAGCTCAAGACAATAGGGAGCCTAAGAGAGGTGTAAGTCTTTTCTTCTCACCAATCCCAAATGGCATGATTGTCTTCTTTTTCCATATGGAATTTTTTTCCAGTCTCAGCAAAAAAAAGATCTGGATGTTCCTTCAGGATTCTTAGACATGAGCTAATGCAGTAAGATCATCACCATAACTTGGCGTACCTGATAACTGGAAGTCACCAATCAGACAAATAGACTCTCTCAATATAGAGATCAACTGCACATACATTGCTGTTTCTAGAGTCACAACAAAATATGGTTTTTCTCTGGACAATATCTGTGACCTAAGACCCATGGTTCATACCATCTCAACAATGAAACTTGGAGTTAGGAGTTGCCAAAACTCTTCAGAAAACTTGTGTTGGGAAGATATTTATTTTAACTCTCATGTATTTTGCACAAATTTTCCAGTTGTAAAATATCCTGGATTTTCTTCATTGACTATTGAATTCTAACAGGAAAAAGTGTCCCTTAAAAAAGTATATAAGAGCACATCAAACTACATAAGTTATTAAATATGCAGAATAAAATACCATTTGTATCTATTAAATCTTCGCGGTATAGATAGCAGAACTTTTTATTATAAAAGTTCACTGTTCTACAATACATAAGAACATATTTTTAGTGATAGTATCATTTTACTTTCACTTGAATTTTTTCTTTCAAAATATCTTAAAATTCATTAATACAAAAAGTAACTTCTGAAAACTGTTCTATAAAACTGAACCACAAAAAGACATATAAAGACATAAGTGCCCTTTTGCACTCTGAAAATTACTTCAGTTAAAGGAGAAGGAGATGGCCAGAAGTTTCTACATTTTCATAAAGACTAAAAGTATCCATATGTGGAACTGCTCCAGAAGAGTTGTCACATTTTAAATTGATACCTTGACTTCAACACACTGATGCCTGTAGACTTTCCCAAGTGCTTGAAGTAATAGCTCCAAAATGACAGAGCATTAAGTGCAGTGTTGGTCTCCCACTGAAGCCCATAAAAACACCTTCATTTAGACTCACAGTGCTGTGACTATGTACCTGAACTGCACAAACAGAAGATTCCCATAGTTTCTTTGAGGTAAACTTGTGAAAAGGGCAAATGTGAGCAGTGCAATACCACAGATTTTGCTCCAGTAAGAATCTAGGGCTTGGTCCAGAACAAATAAGCTTCTTATTCTGCTACCAAAGTCTTTCAAAATGCAGTATCCTGCTCTTGCTTCATTGACTCTAGCACAGCAGAAGTATTGCACCATAAGAACAGTCACATTACCATACTTATACTCCTGAAATACTAACTTAAAGCTTTGTTGCAAACTCTAGGCTACAAATAATGCTACATAAAAACCTCTGAATTTTACTTGGAAGATCTCAGGTGAGAAAGGGAAAGAAAAGGAATTAGATAAAGCCTCTCACTGTTCACAAATTCAGTGCACTTCTTGTAGACTTTATCATCTTCTGTATGCCAAAAATATACTCTTTGTGCATCTGTGAATCCTCTTTTGTGAATCATTGTTTGCTGAAGAGACACTCAAACTCTAGGTAACTGGCTTAGAGAGATCTACTAGGACAACTGGGGCTGCTTGGATCAATCAAAGCATCGAACAGACAATATGTCTAAACAAAACCTCTTTTTTGATACTGTTCTACAGAGATGCAAAGGCTAGTTTTAAATTAGGTTCCCTACATAATGGCAGTAATTTCATCCTGTCGACTTGAAGCTCAGCAAGGGACAGATTATAGTTCTGTGAAGAGTAACTTTAAAAAGTATCTTTAATTTTTATTTAGTTGACACACCTAAAATTTACATCTCTATGAGTTGACTTTAAATACTGCTACTGCATCACCATAAAGAAAACCTAAAGTCTAGAGGTTTTTTTACCTTGGTATACATTGTATTGGGAAGTAGTCTTACTTGTTCTCAATCTCTCATATCACTGCTAAAGAACATTTCACATTTTTCCAAAACCTAAATATATGGAAAATAATTCCAAAATGAAAATAGTTTATATAAACATTCAACAGTACAATGTTTGAATGAACACAAAAGTTGCTAACAAGAATTCAATGTTTTTCAAGAGAAACATGTTTTCATAGCATAACTTACATTTAGACATAAACTTTTCTCTCTCAGATTCTAATAGAACAATCAACTGAACGTATTTCTAAAGTAATGTAAAATTAGAAAAGAAAACTATGTGCCTTTAGGTACACTGAAGCATTTAAACAGGTCTGTTACCTGAAAGTTCATGCCATTTATTTACTTTGTTTAAACCAAAATCTTTTCTTACCATCATGATTAGGATTTCCCAAAGTCCACGGCTCATCTGAGTCAAAATGAGTGTCTCCCCCAATTCCTGGCCCAGGGAAATATGCATGAGCCAAAAATCCTCCCTCCCCATCAAAGGGAGAACTGTCTCCATGAAAACCTGATGCAAAAATGATTGTAATATCCACGTCCCTCTTGCCATTTTCTAATTCAATATAAGGAACTTCTTCAAATGTTAGAGGAGTTACATTCTGCCACACATCGAAGGCACGGCGAATGGCTTTACGAGTTTCAGCATCACCTACTTTTGGAGTGACGTTCTTTATGCTGAAAGAAACAAACAAAAAAAAAATTAAATATATTAAATTTGACAGAGAGGTAAGTGGTACTGCTTGCATTCATTTTCCCCTAATTATTAAACGCACTGTGCTTTTAATAAAACATACTCTTCTGTCATTGTATCCTTTGAGAATAGTAGTTTTAACAAAGTCGGTGTGAAATTACTGTGTCAATCTGTGTAGCCCTTTATGCTAGAACTTATGTGTTAGATGGGTTATTCTCAGCAGTCAAAAAATCTTATTTTTAGAAGATTAAAAATATTTTAAAATATAAAATTCTTAACAGTGGGATAACCACATTAATCAACCACTGACTGTTTACCTCCTGGACCACAATTAGAATCCATCACAGCTAAAGAACAGCATGTCATTTCTGATCAAAAGAAAAATGTTTCCAGTTAAATGAAATTTTAAGTTCTTAGTAAGTCCATTAACAATAGCAGAGCTCCATACTGTGATCACCAACCAGTATTCACAAAGCCTTAAAAACAGTTCTTGTTGCTTTTGTGACTGGCTAGATAATTCCCTATCAGAAACAAAGCCTTTTTATTTCAATACAGGCTAAGATGACCTTTTATGATCTGATTACTTCCATAAATCTTGCATAAAACTGTAGAATTAATCAGAGAAATAATTTTACAGAACACAATTATCTGCTAATTCAGAAACATATATTTAAACAGAAATTTCAGTCTCCACTACTTCTTCAAATGACACACAAGAGAAAGGCAAAAAACATCAGAATTACAGTTTAATTCAGAGTCACAGTTACTAGTAAAGTTTAGCGGGATCATCATTAAAAAAACCTTTATTTTTATTATTGAATTCAAAAAAAGAATGGCAATAATCAACTTCAGACCTATCCAATTTCCTCCATCATTTTTACTCAATTCGTATGACCAGCAAAATCTCTGTTAGGGTTGTGTCTGTTCTCAAACTGCCGCAATCAGATGGTCTTTGTTGATTTGACATGTGCTTGACTAAATGTCCAGCATAAATTTCAGAAATTACACAGTCCTAGAGTATATGGAAGATTTATGTAACTTATCACAGCATGGCACGTTACTGGAGAATGAAAATATTTTCATGAATAAATGTGGAATGATTCATTTACTTAGTGCATTAACTGTCCTTGATTATATGGTATTGTTAGTAAATGTAAATGTAAATCAATCCTTCAAATCTAATTTTATAGATTTAACTTGACATGTATAATATTTTGTTCACAGTTTCATGTAGGAAACATAAGTTGCCTATTCTGACTTCCACTCAAAAATATTCTTGTACTGAGACCAATACTGCTAGTTTAACCAAGGCATTATTTCTTTTTAGCTAGTATGCAGATTCCAAAAAGATAACAAAACAGATTAGAAGATAGTGTACTGTAGAGAAACCACTCCTTCCCTTGATCTTTTGTTCCAAAGATGATTTAACCAGTCATTACATACTTGTGTCTATTCTCTTAATTATCTGGCTGTTAACATTGGTTCTTATTCTGCCTTTCTCTTTCACATACATGAGCTTGAAGAACATTTTTTTCCCCTGAAAAAAAAAGACATTTAAAAGACGTCTGCACTGCAGTCATAACCTTTTTGTTGCCTCTTTGAAATTAAAAATTTGAACTCATTAAATCTCTTATTATAAGACATTTTGTCCAGCCTATAAAACATTTTCTGAGATTTTCATTGAACTTACTCCAATTTTGCAATGTTCTTTAAGACTGACACTGTCAGAACTACAAAGTACTGCTGTACTGATCTTGCAGTCAGAGAGAAAAAGTCCTCTGATCTGTAGGCATAGCCTTACCTTATATGATGTAAATGTCATGTGATTCAAATTGCTTTGTATGATGCCCTTCATAATTATTTACTCATCACTAATTTTATGATCCATGTTGTGTTGATTTTCAGGTGTTTTAAAAAAAAATTGGATGCTCTGGACCAACTACCAGTGCCTGCAGAATCCCTCTCTGAATGCTTCCTCCTTTGTGAAATACTTTTTTGAGACGTTTTAGTTAGCAGGTTCATAAATTACTCATCCTGTGCCCCTTGACAATGTACAGTATTTTACAACCAGAGTGTCATGTGCAACCAAATCAAAACACCTCACAAAGGCATTCTTACATTGCCACTACGAAAAACTTGACAACAGTTAACCTGTTGCTACACTAAGAATACCACTTATAAAAATACCACTTATAAACCTGAGGAATTTGCTCTTAATCATTCTGAAGTGTGCTCTCTGAAGTATGTAAATTGTCGCAAATGCAGCTCATAGAATCATAGAATCTGTAGATTAGAATGGGTTTGGGTTGGAAGGGACATTAAAGATCATTTCATTCCAACTCCCTCCCTGCCATGGGCAGGGACACCTTCCACTAGACCAGGTTGCTCAAAGTCCCATCCAACCTGAACACTGAACAGGCCTTGAACACTGGCAGGGATGAGGCATCCACAACTTCTATGGGCAACTTGTGTCAGTGTCTCACTACCCTCATAGTAAAGAATTTCTTATTAATGTCTCATCTAAATCTACCTTCTTTCAGTGTAAAACGATTCCCTCTTGACTTATCACTACATGCGCCTCTGTTATTCACTACATATAATGAATACAGCAAATGAATCAAAAGGCTTCCATAGAAAACAGAGTATGTCTGGCAAAACTGATATTTTGACATTGGAAAAGTTCATCTGAAAGATACAGGTTTATTTTATTGGTTTGTATTTAGGAATCACAGTAACGGATTAAAGTCACACATTTGGGTTTATAGAAATAGAACAAAAGGATGGTCTTATGCTAGTATATGTGATATACGGAAATGGATAAAAAGAGATTCGAATTTTGTATGGGTGGTAAGTTGATTAATTACTTGGTCTAAAAGGGTTTTGAGTCACATTATAAACCTTATCACTTCACATTTTCTTGCTTTTTCAGTGCATAGAATTAAGTTTTAGTCATTGATTACAAATGAAAAATTAAGCCATTGTGCTAGTTTCACACACATTAACTAGGGTCGTTTAACTATGATGGGAGACCTTTTCTGGGGGGTTCAAGCTGTTGAGTAACTCTTGAAATAGTATCCCATTTGAATCTCAAGATTCATTGCAAAGAAGAAATATTTTTCAAAGCATACTTTCTGTATTAAAATAAGACAGATTTCTGGCTTCCAAAACAGCCTTCTGGACAGGGCAAGATTATATTGAAAAACATAGCTCTTAAAATCAGTAAAGTAAATCAGTAGTGATTCCAATATAACAGTATTTCCAGAAAATGACTGTCCATTTTAATGTGTTTAACACAAGACGTGTTCAATCCTAAAATGGCAAATTCCAACAGTGTGTGTAACACGAATGTTGAAGGTGTCTAGCTGGGAACTTTGCTTAAATAATTCAACAATGTAGACATATCAAATGCAAGTTATTTCACATTTCTTTAATGATGTGGATCATATAACCTCCAAAGGGAAAGTACAGTAAGAAGATGAATCCTTACAGACAATCTATCAACTACCAAAGATTCTAGAATTCATCTCTTAAAAGTCTTCAGGTTAGACATATCACTGCAATAGCAAAGTTTTCTATGAGCACCTTTCGTATTAAATTTGGCTCAATATCTTAAAGCCAATAGTCACATGAAATAGTGGTAAATGTTACTGGTAATAAAAAAAGAGAAAATGGGTATCTTACGCTCATGTCCAGATAATGGAACTCAAAAAGAAATAAGTGAAGGACATGTGTCCTGGGTTCAGCTATAGCAGTCATTTTTTCTCCTTCTTAGTAGCTGGTGCAGTGCTGTGTTTCTTGACTTTCAGCCTGGGAACAACGCTGATAACACCGATGTTTTCAGTTGTTGCTAAGAAATGTTTACTCCAATCATGGACTTTTCTCAGTCTCATGCTCTGCCAGGG